AACATGATAGAATAGTAATATCATGGTCTGCAAGCTATTGGTGGCTGATTTAGAGGTATACTTAGGATCATTGTCTTATCACAAAACAGTATCTTCTTCATTAACTCATAACTCCTGCATGCTTCTTAGCAGACACTCCTTTCAAATGAGTATTTACTATTCTGTATTCATCCTCCCCTTTGCTTCATAGAAAATTCCCACTCCATTTTATCTCATATAGTCCTATACCATCAAGTTTTCGTCTTGAAACTTAAGTGTTTATTCAAAATTTCTTTATCTTAATGGTTGTCCTATCTATTTTAATACAAATTCCTTGCCATATGATCTCATCCTATTGATTGTAAGCTTATCTAACTAGATAAACCTCTTTCAGCTATTAGCAGTCCAATATTTGTACTTGAAAGTAGCATCTTGTCTTTTCTTTTTATAGGTTGGAGACAGAAGAATCTGTTTTTCTTGATTATAGCTTTAAGATGGGCTGTCTTGAGAGTCTGTCTGACTATTTGAGTAGAGATAATCATAGAAATAATGGAAATAATCAATTTGGTCACTTTATTAGCATCAGTGGCCTTTCCAATTAGAATATAGTGATTAAGAGATCTTAAGTCTTATAGAGCAACCTTCTAGATTGGCTACCAAATAACTTAAAGTCCATGATATTACTATTCTATCATGTTCAGCATAGACCCAAGACATCAACCCTATTGAATACCCCTGAGAATCACTCAAGAAATTGCTTGTAGCATATCAAGATTCACCATAGGGGCTATTCCAACTATGAGACAGTGTTACAGCAGAGTATGATGGAAATACCAAAGAGGAATACCCAAAATTGATAGAGAATATGTCTAGAAGAGTGGCAGAAGTGATTGGGGCAGAAGGAGGTTACACAAAGTACTAGAATTTTAAGGATTACATTAGTGAAACTCAAAGTCAAAAAAGTGTCCCAATGAGTCATCAAATTAAAATGATCATATCTTCACATAATGTCATTATTTTCCCATGGTATAGGAAACCGAAATAAAGCTGAGAAGCAGACCTTTCCAACACCTCCATATAGCTTAGTCATATTCCCACGTCTTGACACATGGTATAGCAATTACATGAAAAGCTACAAACATTGGGACACTTTTTTGAGCCACTGTATATATTTTTACATACCTACTCGGTAGCGCTTCGGCTCCGCATGACTGCGCTTAGGTGCGCTATATAAGTGCCAGCAGTACATACTATTACTTTACGGAACTTTCACCTCTCACTTTACCTAGTACTTACTACCTAGAAAGTCGCAATAGAACTCTATTCCTTTACATCTCGCACTCTTCTCTTATATTGCATTATATTATCACTTAAGCTTAGTCTCTCTACCATTTCCGCATGCGCGCGCGTTCCTGCGCCTTCGTACCTTGCGCGCACCTGCGCTTTCTCGCGCTTCGCTTCGGCGCGTACCTCTAGATCTTCGCTGCACTTGCTTCCCCTTAAGGGTCGAACACGCTTGCCACCTCAAGCATAGCAGACTAGGCAACACTCGACCTACGACATTTTTAGATACAGTTAGGAGCATCTTTTGTTCCTAGCAGTATTGTTGTTTCTACACCGGGCGCTGGCGTATGACCAGTGCTGGCAACACCGTACCGATGCTCTTCATCCGAAAACCGGGGACCGATAAGTTGCGGACTGTGGTGGACCTGCGGGAGAGAAACGCCAACATGAAGAAGTTGTCGTCGCCACTTCTGGATATTGATGGCATCTTGAGACGGGTGGCTCAAAAGAGATACCGGTCAATTATAGATGGCCAGGACGCTTACGAACAGATTCGTATCGTCCCGGAACACGTGGATCGGTCCACTGTGACAACCCCGGATGGGAACTTGGTCAGCGAGGTTCTGCAGCAAGGTGATTGTAATGCACTGGCGACTTATCAGGCTCTAATGAACCACCTGTTTGGTGAGTACATTGGGAATTGGTTAGATGTGTATCTAGATGATATTATAATTTATTCGGACTCACTGGCTGAACATGTTGACCATGTCAAGACGGTACTTCAGATCCTGGAACGTGAAACGTTGTACCTAAGCGAGGGGAAGCTGCAGTTCCTCTGCAAGAACCTCAAGATCCTGGGACGGGTGGTCGATGACGATGGGATCTGTATGGACCCCGACAAAGTCGACCGGATCCTCAACTGGAAGGATCCAGCAAACAGAGATGCTCTCAGGAGCTTCCTGGGGGCCGTAGGTTTCCTGGCGGACGATATACACAAGGTCCGCGTGCCTATGGGCGTGCTGTCTGAAGTTACGGGCGATACTGTGCCATTCCGGTGGGAATACACTCACCAGCGTGCCTTCGACGAAATTAAGCAGTACGTGGCCAATTGCAAAGATCACCATCGAGTCCCTTTGGACTACAGTAGGGACGCACCTACAATCTGGTTAATGACGGATGCGAGTGCCAAGGGCATCGCGGCTGTCGTAGCCCAGGGTGCAGACTGGAAGTCATCCCGGGTGGTGGCGCTATACAGCGCCAAGCTGAATACGGCACAGCAGAATTATGCTGTCCACGAACAAGAGATGTTGGCCGGGTTAGAAGGGATGCTGCGGCACCGGGACATCCTGCAGGGTGCACGGTTCATATGGCTGACCGACCACAAAGGGTTGGTCCATCTGATGAACCAATGCGAGGTCTCTGGGCAACAGGCGCGCTGGTTTGAGAAGCTGGGGGAGTTTGACTTTGAAGTCAGATATATCCCAGGGGAGGAGAATGTCTTACTGGACGCTCTCTCTCGCATGTACTCGTTTGATGCTCCCGGGACCGTGCGTGCTGACAGTGAGTTCACAGTACACGACGATGGGGATGGGGAGGCTCGCAGGCCGGGCCTGCGAGCCATCATATCAATGCCGGTCCTGGTAGGGTCAGAGGCGTTGGCAGCCTCGCCTGCCCTGTTGGTGACGAGGCGTAGCACAAGATTGGCTGCCCATGTCGATACGGGGCAGCACGCCAATGGGAGTGGCGCGTCCCGGCCGGAGGTATTGAACCCTGTCCCTACAGCACCACCAGTGGAGTCTACCCCAATTGGGACTGACACCGGTGTGGTGAAGTCCAGTGGACGTCGACGCCGGGAACCAACCGAACCAGCGGAGACTGGGCGACCTGAGACTGCAGCCGAGTTTGCCAGGTGGGTGGCAGGTCGTTTCGTCCTTTGTGGCCCATGGGTACGAAAGGAGGGGGAGGATCCTGGTGGAATGACCACAGAACCTGCAGTAGGGCCGACACCTGAACCCCAAATGGAGGAGACAACGGAAGAGCCGAGTCAGATTCCAGCCTGGTATCCTGAAGAGGATGAGCTGATCAAGGGTATGCAGCACAGATATGGTCAGGACCCGTTCTTCAAGGGCATTTTGGACTCACTGGGTGAGTACAGGAACTTCGAGGAGTCCAATGGCATGTTGCGGATCTGGCTCAAGGACCGGACACTCCTGTGTATCCCAAATGTAAGGATAAATGGCAGGAGCGCCCGCGAAATCGTGATATCACAAGCCCATTCTCTGTTAGCGCACCTCAGAGCACAAAAGACGCTAACGTACCTCAGAGACCACATGTGGTGGAAGTCCATGGTTGCAGACGTAAACGCTTACTGCGCGTCATGTATGACTTGCAAAAGGAGCAAGCCATCCAATCAAAAGCCCTATGGGCTGCTAAACCTGTTGCCGGTCCCATCTAGACCTTGGGAGTCCATCGGGATCAATTTTGTTGGTCCACTGCCAATGTCTAAGGACAGGGACGGTGAGTATGATGCAATAACGGTCATCATTGACAGACTTACCTCGATGGTGCACCTGGTGCCAAGCTGAGTGAACTACAAGGCCCGCGAGATTGCTGAACTGATCTTTGCCGAAGTGTACAAGCTACATGGGCTACCTAAGTTGATAATCAGCGACAGGGACGTGCTCTTCACGAGCGCGTTCTGGACTGACCTTAATAAACTCATTGGGGTCAGCCAACAGATGTCGAGCACGTACCACCCGGAGTCAGATGGTGCAACAGAATGGGCCAACAGAACGTTGGGCCAGATGCTAAGGTCCATAATTGGCCCTAAACAGACAGATTGGGTATCAAAGTTACCCACTATAGAATTCGCTATCAATTCAGCAAGTTCAGAGACAACGCTGACCTCACCTTTTAAGGCCAACTACGGGCAGACCCCGCACGCGATGGTATGGAACAATCCTACCAAAGATGAGTACCCCAGTGTGCGTGTCTACTTACAAAAGATGAAACAGGCTGCCATGATGGCCCATGACTCCATACTGCATGCCTGTGTGAAACAAACACGGAACGCAAACAGAAGACGTCAGCCCTGCCCATTCAAGGAAAACGACTTGGCTTACGTTTCAACCAAGAACCTGTCACTTCCCAAAGGGCTGGCTCGCAAGCTCACACCCAAGTACATGGGGCCCTACCGACTTATCAAGGACTATGGCAACAACTCATTCCTCATTGACTTGCCCAGCTGGCTACATCAACGAGGAGTTCACCCAGTCTTTCATTCGTCTCTGCTCCGCATCCACGTCCCGAACGACGATAGGCTGTTCCCAGGCAGAATGGACACGCAGGTAGTGGACTTTGGCGATGGTCAGGACCCGGAGTGGCTGGTCAACCAGATATTGTTGCACCATAGCTCACGCAAGAATGCCCACTTTGAGGTGAAGTGGCGTGCAGGTGACATCACCTGGCTACCATATGTGCAAGTATCCCATCTTGACGTGTTAAGCGAGTACCTGGATTTACTCGGTTTCACTAACATTTCTGAGTTACCAGCAGGGCAAGGAACACCCCCCCAAGACGACCCGGAATTCTACCTCGGGCTCGTGTCATTAGGAGGACTGAATGATATAAGTACCCCGTCCTATCCTATCACCATTCCTCCCTCCTCCCCCACAACCGACTCACTGCCTAGGCTCCCAGAGCCCCCATCACCATTCGACCACTTCCACCTGTTCGCGATGGCCCCTTCCTCCAATGACCACCAGCTCCTCTACCTCTCCACGTACGGGCAAGATGTGCTTGTCGGAAACCCTGAGAACCCCGAGGACTCTCACCTGATCACCCGTGACCAACTAAAATTATTCATCAACTACTCCCATGCCCTGCGCAACAAGTCCCTCGACGACTGCCCCCCGAGTCCCTTGGGGTACGAGTTCTTCGCGCATGCCTTCAATAGTGAAGGCCTATCATCCACGGCATCCTATATCAATGAGAACGGAGTTGTAGTCAGCATGGGGGCCGCTCTGGTCCTCTCTGATATCATGGAAGAAGAAGACGACGTTGAGATTACCGTCTCGTCGTCGCGAATGGAGCAGCTCGATAAAATGGTATGGCACACGGCCCTCAGCGCCTCCTACCAGCGCAAGAAAATGGAGGCTAGACAAGCGAATCAGAGGAAAGAAAAGAACTATGGTCGCAAGCAGGACCAGAAGCTCACCAAGAAAGGGTTGGGGAAGGTCCGTAAGCTGATGACCTTGGCGCCGGCGAACGTCGTCGCCGGGCCTTCAACCCCTCATACCACTGCCGAGGAAGCCATGAATGAGTAGGACGGACGAAGGTGTTGGTATAGGGAGATGGCGCTCTCCCTGGAGGGGGAGATGTAACGGTTGGGCCGTCCAAACGGCCCACGTCCAATTTACTTTGTTTCTCTTTCATTTGGTTCTGTCAGTCTCCTAACTACGCTTATTCATTTATACAGTTGCTCGTAGATGCTTCGGCCGAGTCTATAGCCCACAGTAGCATTTACTCTTCTGAAGCTACCCGACATCGGACATATTGTTAGCATAAATACTGCCTATAGTCGTAGAGTTACACTAGTGTCGTTTGAACCCTCAGAATTCAGACTTTGATCCTGTCACTTAGTTTGAATGCACTCTTCTCTATTGTGCCATTGTCGTCGAGCCTAATACGCTAAACCGTCAACGTCACAGGTATAAACCGGCTTCGAGACGGTTGATTTTCCGGATTTCAACCACCTCGAAGACATCGTTTGGCCATCAAGTTCCAGCCAGCTGCTACTATGGGTCCAGAACGATACTGCATATACATTGAATAAACCACATTAATTATATTATATTCAATATATATATATCCAGCTGCAGACATTCAATTATTTAAATCTGAGAAATTGCGAAATTTATTAGATATTCCAGCGAATACATGCTGCTAGCTAGCTACAGCTATATATACTGCAGAACATGAGGGCGCTCGACAACATTAAGTGAAGCGGCGAGATGAATTACGTCGGGAGTAGCTGTCCAAATTAATTCAGCTTGTACTCGGATTCTATGACGACAGGTACCTATAGTAGATGTGCAGGAGACGAGTTTTCCTACTCAGCTCAATGTCAGCGTGTGATATCATAGTGACTGCAAATGTCACCTTGAGTCTTGAGAGGGGGTTCATCCCAACGGAAGGCACGTTTCACGGCCGTGGGCTAGCAATATGTCATAAGTGCATGCACAACTAGTGGGATCAAATACATACTTAGAATTGAGTCAATGCATAATACTTCTTGGTTCCGTCGTGCTCAAACTAGCTCCTGTAGTACCCCATTATAGCTCTGGCCACTGGTCAGTTCTCCGGAGAAGCCAATGGACAATATTACCTTTGGCCCGGCAGGCAGATGTGTCGAAAAGGAAAGTACACAACATTCCGCCTTGTCATTGAGAGACGGAGAATTATCGACCTGCTTGATCTTGAGTTCATTGGAGTGTTATTCAATTTGAGATAGGCTACACATGCTAGCTAAGTGGTGGATGCTTGATTTAGAGTTAGGAGTGTGTGGTCGCTGCTCGACATCGTCAAGATCGTTGTTGAAGGGTTCAGGGCAAGATGAATTGAAGCTCCACTGCACACCTTGGTCTGAATACTTACTGGCACAACGACTGCATACCTCCAAGAAAAGGTGAGGTAATGTCAAACGTTTCGTACTTATATATTGTAGATGTACAACACGCAAAACACACCTCAGGTAGAAGTCACTGTAAGGTAGATAAGACGTAGGTGAGGGTACCTCTAAGTTCGAGCTATCGTCGACGCTGGTGGTAATTTAAAGAGTCAGATTTCCGACACCATAGAAGTCGGCTGATATTTGATGACTTCGACGTGGCTGAAACCTTAGGTACCCCCAGATTCTCAGCCATCTCTAAGCTGTCGGAATTTTTGGACAACACGCAGTGACCCTGGGTTTGAATGTAAAATCCACATTGCATAGAGCTCGTCGTCCAACAAGGATAGTCATCAGATGGGACTCCGATGCCGATAGATTTGCACGTGTTCACCAGTACTTCACTTCCTTCTTCCCAAGTTACATATTCATCACTCAATATTTTTCCATACCTTTTGCCGTAGGCTTTGCTTTGATCCCTGATTTGTCCAGTTCTTAGTAGTTAAGCCATCGAGGTACTCAGGTGAGCGTAAATGGCCAAATAAAATATTCATATCCAAATTCACCACAGCTGGCACCATTCACTGTTTTCCAGTGCATTTTCACCTTGTGCTGGCACATGCATATACAGGTTATTCAAATATTCAGGCGCAGGTGTCTCACAGCTGCATATTTCTCCAGAATCCAGATTTATGTTGGACGCTCACTCAATAGAGACGGTCCGACATAGATATTGCTCCCGGGCTTCTATTACGTGCATTCACACGGCATCAGGCTTCTTCAAAGCTTCACCGGCACCCCTGTCTCTACCATACTCGTGCATTCGACCGCCTTCCTTCTATTGCTACCAGAACTGTCTCAAGTCACCAGATGCAACTGACTCCTTGTGTTTTGTTGTACAAAGGGAACCAGCCTTGACAATCAGCATTTCATTTTCTTTTGTTCTTGCTATCACTCCTAAGACTGCCGCAAGACAGCAAACACAAAGTTGTACGCGTATACTGTCCATGTTCACTGAGGGGCACTAGTAGATAAGTATCAGATCTGGAATGGCGGAGACCGAGAATCATGACTCACGTGACTTCGCGGATGTTTTATTATTCACTCATTGGCACCGATCGTCTCTGTACAGTGTACACCATGATACATGGCCACCGTGGACGGTGACAGCAACAGTTCAAGCTATCCACCGACTGTTCAAGTAGTTCACAGTTTGCAGCTTAATCCTGCGAATGGTGATCGCCCGAAAGTCGAGATAGTATACCGACTCTAAAAAATGGCAGGGAAAATGGTTGGTTCGACAACGAGGAAGTCGAGCCTACAAGGTACTCTGTCTCAAACCCATCATGATCTGCTCGGCTTACCTCTCCCTAGGTATAATTATCATCATGTATGACAATTTTGGCCCTATTACATACTCGACCAGTGGGTTCTCCATTGTCAACCATCGGTGCCAGCACCTGTTCAAAGAGCAGACTCCAGTGCAGCCTTGCAAAGCAAACACACCGCGAGGAGGGCTTGATGGGCTCTGGTGATCGTAACACTTGCTATGTACTTCAAGTTAGAACACCGACTTCAACACTGCTGACGCTGACAGCAGGATGCCGATACCACCAAGTAAAACAATTGAAAAAGACATCCTCCTGACGTGTTTCCTGGACGCTTGCTGGACGCTCGAGAGTGAAATGTAGCCATTTTCATCCGCTGACACAAACTTTTACGTTTCTCCGAACGAAGGTGTAACCCGTCTTCCATGAAGTGAACACACGTACGTAAGTATACTCACGAATTCGTCAGCGAATAGATGTTTGACACTGAACCCGACGTGCCGATCTCTCGATCAAATTTCTAGCTCGTCAATTTGAACCAGAAGCGACCAATGACGTAGTAAATTCCATCAAGCACGAAATATAAATTGACCGCGGTCGTATCCCAAGAACAAAAACCTTACGACAAGTACCCTGAAACTTTCGGTGAGCAGTCCTGCATGCAGTAACGCTGTATCCGTCTCACTCAATCGACATTTTGCATCAGTCCCTTCGTGTACTCAACCGCACAATCAAACTTTTGTTAGTGTATGGTATACTCGCACTAACAGTCATCACTGAAGTACTGATACATGGTCCTACTAGACATCATGAAGCCCATTCAGTTCACCATCCTTGCCATCCTCGCCGCTGTCGCCGGGGTGAAGGCAGCTTCAACTACTACCAACGATGGAGTCTGCGACGATTCGCAATGCTACACTAGAGCGCCTGCCTGCAGTGATGATGCGATAGCTGTCGAAATTAGCTCAGATTGCTGGACCTGCTGCGATATCCCTGATGCTTCGGTCAAGCTTGAGAAGCTCCATAAATTACTACACGAAGTTGTTTGAACACGCTGTAGTCGTCGTGAGATGCTTAGGTTCACGTTTGAATACATGGGATATACATGTGTTCCACATCTTTGATATCTTTCTATAAACTGCAGAACATATAGACGACTTTTACTTTCACTCCGGGAGGGCAAGAATTAGCTGAAGATGAGCTCAGGATGCGTGTCAACGGAAGTACTCTGAAGTATGAGCCGAATAAGAAGCATACAGCATGCAGTAATATGAGAACTCGGTGAAAATAACGAAGATCTCCAGGACTCAGAGACAACAGGCTTCCTAACTATTTTATAAGAGCTGACGTTTGCTACAGATAACAAGAACCTAAATCAAACCAAAGACAAGTGTCCCTATCTATGGCGTATCCCTAAAGCCCATCAAGTACTGCATAATCTGGAAGGCAGCCTGAATTATCGGTCTCTGCGTTAGAGCGCGTTTGGTTCAAGAACTCTCGACTTACTACTGGCGCAAATTGTGGAACCCTGCAGAATACATTTAAGAAGCGGGACGCTGTTACAGCGGAAAGAGCTCACATATGTCCACTCAGGACTACTTCGAAATAAGTGAGTCCTCGCTCTGAGTGCATAGTCCCGAAGGCACCCACACCATCGACGATGAAACTGTCATCGGCGATAGGCGTCTGGAATCCTTGCAACCCGTTCCCTTTGAATAAAATGAGTGGTTTTTGCACTTCAACGCTTCTCCTCACTCACAAGTCATACTACAGACAATTCCTATTGATTAGATTCAAGCGATAGTCAAGAACGCACGTACTTTTGAATGACGATTCTGGTCCTAAGTAATAGAATCATGCATCAGGATATAGGAGAAGAACTTGCGGACGCAGGCATACCCATCAGAAATGAGAACAAAGTCGGCGAGACCGTGCACGATGACAGTCCGCTTATTCTTCTCTATAACATTTGGTAACACGGTGAAAGCAGGGGGCAAGCTGCCGTCTCCATTTGGGAAGACATTGATATTGGAACACTCCGTCCACTCTGTATCAACAGGTGCATGGATGGCTTGTTTCACATCCGTACGGTCGAAGTAGAGCGGAGTTTGTGACTGTATGATCGAACCCCTGGCTCTGCGTAAACTGAAATGTCAAGTGCATTATTTAATTACTTACGGGGCACCGAGGACATCCCATAGGACGGGATACTGAAATGGAGAACGTTAGCAGCTGATAAGCAGGATTCTCTTCGACTCACAGTGTCCCAGATGCGATATATGTTGAAGGCGGGGTTGATGATCAACGCATTATTGAAAATGTCGTCCCA